GCAGTCAGTGCTCTTAACTGCTGAGCCATCTCTCCAGCCCCATATATGTTTTTATATATATATATATATATATATATATATATATGAATAACTTCTTTGCTACAGAGCCAGGCTCTTTGCCTCTTTGTATAGAAATTTGACAGCAAGCTGGGCATGGTGATGCATGCCTGTAATGCCAGTGCTCAAAAGGCAGAGACAGAAGGATCAAAGCAAATTCAAGGCTAGCCAGGGCTACATAGACACTGTCTCAAGGGAAAAAAGGGGTGGGCTGGAGAGATGTCTCCATGGTTAAGAGCACTTGTTGCTCTTGCAGAGGACCCAGGTTTGATTCCCAACACCCACATGGTGGTGAGGCACTCCTGGATTTTCTGTGAGGGCATTTCCAGAGAGGCGTAAGTGAAGGGAAAGACACACCCAGAATGTGGATCACACCATCCTTTGGGCTGGGGCCCTGGATAGAATTAAAAGGGGAAAGGAGAACCCAACTGGGTGTTGGCATTCTCTCTCTCTCTGCTTCCTGGTCTGCCACTATATGAGCTGCTTTGCCCTACCATACCCTCCCCACCATTATGCACCAAACCCTCTGAAACTGTGAACAAAATAAATCTTTCCTCCTTTAAGTTGTTTTTGTTTGGTTGGTTTTTGGTTTTGTTTTTTGTTTTGGGGGTTTTTTGTTTTTATTTTTTTGAGACAGGGTCTCCCTGTAGCCCCAGCTGTCCTGGAACTTACTATGTAGACCAGGCTGGCCTTGAACTCACAGAGATCTGCCTGCTTCCGCCTCCTGCGGGGACTAAAGGCATGTGCCACCATGCCCAGCTCCTTTAAGTTGTTTTTGACAGGTATTTTCTCACAGCTACTCAAAAGTAACTGAGACCCAGTTTGAAAAGCGCCATACTAGCTGAGCGTAGTAGTTCATGCATGTAATCCCAGCACTTAGGAGGCAGAGGCAGAAGGATCAGCTGTTCAAGGCCAGCCTGGGCTACATGAAACCCCATCTGAAAACAAACAAAACAGAACTAAACAAAAAGTACCATTCTAGGGCTGGGGCTAGGGATGTAGCACTTGCCTAGCATGTATGAGGCCTTATGTTCAATCCCCCCAGCACTTCCGAAAGACAAAAAAGAGGAGAGAAAAAGAGGAGAGGAAGGAAAAGCATCATTCTAGTTAATGCTGTTGAGTGAATTTACTAGTCTTTGCCACCAAGAAATTACGGTTAAGCAGACAAAAGACCAGAATGGGGTCCATAATGTCAACTGGAATGGCAGGAAGAGTTAGGGAGTGTAGCAGAGGGTGGATGGGTGGGTGGAGGGGGTAGAGGACCCACACCTTGAGCTCTGGAAGGCTGAGAATCTGCTCAAAGGACACACGTGCATTCAGTGACTCCTCCATGGTTCGATGCTCCTGGGGAAGCAACTCACAAAACCGCCTGTGGGCTCTGGCAGAAAGAGGGGAACTTATTGGCACCCTCAACCAATCTGTCTCCCTGTATTACATTCCCACTTGCACTTTGGAAGCTGTATACACCAGGTGTGGAGCTAAGTCACATACGCATGACTTCAGAGTCATTGGACAACCTTCAGCCAAAGGGAAGTCACAGAACAGCAGAGGCCAGGAGTCCCTTGTTAGGGTGGTTATTTACCAAGGACCCTCCTGAAGTCCTGTGTGTTTGAAGACAGTAAGCTGGGCACTGATTCTGTAATTTATTTTTATTGTATGTATATGTTTTCCATGTAAGTGCACTCATGCAGGCAATGACCAGGGAGGCCAGAAGAGGGCATCAGGGTGCTAGGAACCAAACCTGGGTCCTCTGCAAAAGCAGTCAGTGTTCATAACCACTGAACCATCTCTCCCACTCCTTTCCCTATATTTAAACCTAAAGCTCATTAGCTAGACATGAGGATGGACTTCGGGGTTGGGGGTGTCCCTGGACCTCTGGACCTCATTGCTCATCCTACAGTGACCACATTGAGTAAATTTCCTTTCTCTGCTTTTCACTTTTTTACTTTTCCGTACCAGTCTGTTGAGGACAGGTGGCCCAACCTAGCTTGTTAGGACTGCTGGAGCCCGGGCTCCGGACCCTAACAACTGTAGTAACAATTTCAGAGACTCCCGAGGAATGGAGAGGTTGGGGAAGGGGCCTAAATTGGCACTGATAGAGAGAATGAAGCAAAATTACGATCACACTTTCACTCCTGGACCCCATCCTCACTTCCTTCCCACTGGAACTGTCAATGTCATCAGAAGCCCAGGAACCTCCTAACTCCAGCGCCTGGCCATCAAATCTACTTTCAGTGTGTTTTATAAGCAAGTCACCAGACCTCTCTGAACCCGTTTACTTGTTCCTGTACCTCTCTCCCGAAGATTTAGGTAATGTAGGAATCACTCAGGGCAGAGTAAGTGCTCAGAAAGCGTTAACGGTTACTATATTAATCAGGTAAACTTGGGAGAAGAGCGAGCCAGGCTCATGGCAGCTCTGGTTTCGCCAGCGGGGGAAGTCAGCGTAGAGCTACAGCAACTTTCTCACAGAAGAGAGCAGGAAGCTCTGCAGTGCAAAGGCTAGCCGGGCTCAAGTTGCGCCCAACTCTTCCTGGATGCGGAGGTGACTGAACGGTGCAAAGCAGCGGCCGGGACTCCTGTCCTCCAGTTTCAGCCCAGCCCAGCCAAACTTCTCTTCCCACAAGCCCTGCCCCTCGCTCGAAAGAGGGGTGCCCAGTCTGCCCACCCCCAGGACCGCGCCCCCCGAAGCCACGCCTAGGGGACCCCAAGGTCGCAGGCGGGGCTCGGGGCAGCACTCACAAGAGGATCTCCTGCTTGGTCAGGAACGTCAGGTCCTGGAAGGCAAATCCAGACTGGGGGTCAGCAAGGGGCCCGAAGGCCGCAGCCTTCCCACCGCCTCCTCCCAATTCCCGCTCCCGGGCGCGGGCCCCCACGCCAGCTCCGCAAGAACCCGCGTCCCGCGCACCTGGTACTCGGCCAGCAGCTCCTTGGACAGGCGGCTGCCCGAGCCCCCCATCGCCGCGTCGCGCGCACAGCTCTACCAACTCTCCGCGGGACGCCGGTAACTTTTTCACTTCCGCCCTCGGGGCCGCGTCCCCGCCCCGTCCCCGCGGCAACCGCTGCTGGCTGGGGACTCCGCCCCGGGGTCCGCCCCTGCCTCCCGCACCAGAGCGCTCATAGTTCAGCTCTCTGGCCACCTCCGGGATCCCCTCCGCCCCAAGCGAGCTGGAGGCGGGGCCCAGGCATCATGGCCCCCGCCCCCAAGTGGGCGGGACAGACGGGTGAGCAGCGCGCGTGATGCATACTGCGCCTGCGTCAAGTATATTGCGCCCTCCTGTGTTCCGGGTAGGCTCCAGGGCTTTTTGAGGTTTATCTGCTTCGTCTGCCTGAGTCCTGCCCCCGGTGTGATGAGAGGCGCCCTGGGAAGTTCCTGCTACCAGAGTAACCGGAAACGTCAAGACTTGCTCCGGGTTCCTTCTGCCAAAGGGTTTTTCCCAGACTTTCTCACTGGGCACTAGCTGCAGTCCCCTTCCCCGGTGCCATCTCTTCCAGCAGTAGCTTGACTTGCTGTCTCTTGAAGCTGTTGACTGAGGACCCGCTGGATGTCAAGCGTGTGCCCAGTTATCTCCCATTCGTGAAACTGCCGGCAAGGTAGGCGCCCATTTTGCAAACGTGGAAATACATAGGTCCAGTTTCAGTGATGAGGACGGACTCCTGCAGGCACTTAGAGGTCAGTCTGGTCCTCAGGTCCCCCATGGCTGTGCTCATCCTTAACAGCTGACATGTCTGCATCCGCCAAGTGCAAGCTTCCAACAATAAAGTAGGTTGGTCTACCTATTTGCTTTTTTCCCCTCTCAACCTCCAGGGCAATGCTTGGTTCATTGTAGATACTCAATAAATAATTAACAGATGTATGCCTGAACAAATTTATACTGCTTGAAAAAGTGAGGATTCCAAGCTGCTAGGAGGGGGAAGGAAAAGGTGGATTCTCTGATGGTTAATCTGTGATGGTTATCAATTTGCCTGCATCAGGAGTCAACTAGAAGGCAGGACACTGGGCACTCCTGTGAGGGATTTTCTTGATCAGATTATTTGAAGTGGGTAGAGCTACCCTAAAAGTGACCATAAGAGGGAGGTGTAAGAAGGAACTTTGCCTGTTTGCCTTCATTCTTGTTGACACATTCATCTATCCTGTTGCTGCTACTGCTGCCTTCCTTCCTTCACTGATATTAGAATGAGCTTTTTAGGGCTTCCAACTTAGACTAAAGACCAACAGCTCTCCAAGAATCCTTCAGGCCTTCTGTGGCAGATTGGGACTGCTGAGACAGCTATCCTTATGATGGTACCATTGTTGGACCAACCAGACCAGACTGTGTAAGCCAAACTAATAAATCTAGTATACATTCAATCTATCGGTTCTGTTCCTCCTGAGGAACCTAATACAGATTCATTCTTGATTTTTTTTTTTAACTTTACAAATCAAATGCCTTTATTTTTGTTTGCTTCAGTAGCACGGGAGAAACAGCAAGGACTTTGGCAGTAGGCTTGCTGTCTTTTCCTTAAATGAGGAACCTTCCAATGTACCTGATGGGTGTTTTCCCAAAGTGAGAGAGATGGTTGTTAGCCCTAGTGCTGGGGCCTAGAGGACATCAAGATCAGCCTCAAAGTAGCTAACTGCCTGACCCCTAGTCTGAGGCTAGATCTTCTGTTTGCCTGAGTAAAGCGTCATCAGTCCTAGGATTTCTCCACATTGTAGCTTGCTTTTGAGGTGGCCAGAAAATTGATCTTTGAGGATTAGCCTTGAATTTTTATTCCCCTGCTTCTACCACCCAAGTTCTGGGATTACAGATACGGGACACCATACTTAGTTGCTAATTAGGTCTTAATACTGTGAAAACCCTGAGTTGATACTTTCATTTTTTTATGTTTGTGCTATAACCCCTGATACACTTTCAAGAGTAGAGTCTTGGGGCTGGAGAGATGGCTCAGTGGTCAAAAGCACTGGCTGCTCTTTCAGAGGTCCTGGGTTCGGTTCTCACCCCCCACATAGCAGCTAACAACTGTCTATAAAGTCCAGTTCCAGGGGATCTGACACCCTCTTTTGACTTCTTAGGGTATTGTACAACATGGGTGCACTTACATACATGTAGGCAATATACTCATACACATAAAATTTAAAAATAAATTTTTTTTTAAAAAAGAACAAGGGGCTGGAGAGATAGCTCAGCAGTTAAGAGCACTGGCTACCCTTAACCAAGGTTCAGTTCCCAGCACCGACATGACAGCTTCAACTGTCTATAATTCGAGTTCCAGGGGATCCTACGTCCCCTTCTGACGTCCACAGGCATTGCATGATATGGGTGCACTTACATACATGCAGGCAATACAGTCATACACATTAAAATAAAAATAATAAATAGGGGCTGGAGAAATGGCTCAGCAGTTAAAAACACTGATTGTTCTTGTAGAAGATGCAGGTTTAAATACCAGCACCCACATGGCAGCTAACTGTCCATAACTCCAGTTCCAGGGGATATAACAGCTTCTTCTGTATTCCCACAGGTATTGCACAACATGGGTGCACTTACCTACATGCAGCCAATACATGCATACACATAAAATAAAAATAATAAATAATGGCCAGGCATGGTGGCGCACACCTTTAATCCCAGCACTCGGGAAGCAGAGGCAGGCAGATCTCTGAGTTTGAGGCCAGCCTGGTCTCCATAGTGAATCCAGGCCAGCTAGGGCTACAGGGACACCCTGTCTCAAAAAGACCAAAAAATAAAAATAAGTAAATAAAAATAATAAATAAAAATTTTAATTTAAAAAAAAGAGTGGAGTCTTGGCATTGGATGTGTAGCTAGCTCAGTGGTAGAGGCTTGCCTAGCATGTGCAAGGTCCGGCGTTCTGGCTCCAGCCCTAAAAGGGGTGGGGAGAAGCTGTGCTACTTGTAAAATAATTTTGTTTTTATTGCCTGGGTTACATTTTCAAATGTATGTTTTATTTTAGTGGTTACTTTTTTTGGAGATGGGCTCATGTAACCCAGGTTTGCCTGAATCACTGTATAGTAAAAGGTCATCTTAAATTTAAATTTCTTTCTTTTTTTTTTTGGTCTTTTTGAGACAGGGTCTCCCTGTAGCCCCAGCTGTCTTGGATTCACTATGGAGACCAGGCTGGCCTCGAACTCACAGAGATCCACCTGCCTCTGCCTCCCGAGTGCTGGGATTAAAGGTGTGCCACACCCAGCCATCTTAAATTTCTTATCCTCCTGAATCCACCTCCTGTAGACTGGATAGTTGAACAGAACATCAATAAACAGAAAAGCACGTATTTGTGTAGTAGTCTTTCCGGTATATGTGATATAGCTGTCATGTAGAAGATCTATCTTTAACTTTTGAGAAGCCTCCACTCTTATTTCCATAGTGGCTGCATCAGCTTACACTTTCCACTCTCTCACCAGCATTTGTTCTCATTTCTTTTTTTTTTTTTTTTTTGAGACAAGATCTCCCTGTAGCCCCAGCTGACCTAGAACTCACTATGTAGACCAGACTGACCTCGAGCTCATAGAGATCTGCCTACCTCTGCCTCCTGAGTGCTGGGATTAAAGGTGTGCACCACCATGCCCAGAAGTCATTTGTTTTCTTTATAATAATCATTCTGACAGGGATGAGATAGAATCTCAGAGTAATTTAATTTGCATTCCCCTCATGGCTAAAGACTGAGCACTTTAAAAAATATTGGCCATTTATATTTGAATTTTGAAAAACAACTCCAGCCAGGCTTGGTGGTGCACACCTTTAATCAGTAGCACTTGGAAGGCAGAGGCAGGCAGATCTCTGAGTTCGAGGCCAGCTGGGGCTACAGGGAGACCCTGTCTCAAAAAGACCAAAAAAAAGGCCAACAACAAAAACTTAATAAAAACTTAATACCCATTAAACTCTAGGTTGACTTTAATAAGTTATTTTGATTACCTGTTTTTCTTGTTTTAGTAATGTGAGCGTGTGAAATATCTGGACCAGCAAAGTTGAAGGAACCCAGACTGAAACTGAAACTGGTCAACTGAGGTAATGCCTCCTTTGTTCCCCCTTTATTTCTCTCTTTTTCTTTCCCTCCTTCCTTCTGACTCTCCTTCCCTGCCTTCCATCCCTCTCTTTCTCTCTCTCCCTCCCTCTCTCTTAGGCAGAGCTCACTACATAGGCCATTTTGGACTCAAAGTTGTAATCCTGCCTTAGCCTCCCAAGTGCTGAAATTACAAGTGTACAGCACCACACCTGGTTCTCTCTATATTTTTTTAAATTATTTAATTAATTTATTTATTTTATTATGTATATATGTGTGAATCTGTGTGTGGGTATGTGCACGTGAGTACAGGAGCTCTTGGAAGCTGGAGGCAGTGGATCCCTTAGGAGTTACAGGTGATTGTGAACTGTCCAAGGTAACCACTCAGTCCCCTGGAAGAACAGTACATGCTTTTAACCTCTGAGCTCTCTCTCTCCAGCCCAGTATTTTTGTCTTTCATTTGGTTTGTCTTTTTTTTATTTTTTTTTTAAATATTTATTTTTTGGTCTTTTTGAGACAGGGTCTCCCTGTAGCCCCATCTGGCCTGGAACTTGTTATGTAGATCAGGCAGGTCTTGAACTCACAGAAATCCACCTGCCTCTGCCTCTGCTGGAATTAAAGGTGTGCACCACCACGCCCAGCACTATTTTTATTTTTTATGTGTATGAGTGTATTGCCTGCATGTAATGTATGGAAGTGCACTCATGTCATGCAGTGCCCACAGAGATCGGAAGAGGGCATCAGATCTCCTGGAACTGGAGTTAAGGATGGTTGCTAGCCACCATGTGAGTGCTAGGAATCAAACCCAGGTCCTCTATAAAAGCAATCTTAACCACTGAGCCATCTCTCCAGCCACCTGGTTTGGGTTTTTTGAGACAGGATCTTCCTGTAGCCATAGTTGGCTTGGAACTCACTCTGTAATAGACCAGCCTAATCTCCATCTCACACTTGCCTCTGCCTCCTGAGTGCTGAGTTAAAGTGGTGCACCACCACACCTGCCTATATTATTTTTTGAGAAAGGATCTTTTTTTGAAATATTTTATTTTTATATATCTTTTTGGTCTTTTTGAGACAGGGTCTCCCTGTAGCCGCAGCTGTCCTGGAACTCACTATGTAGACCAGGCTGGCCTTGAACTCACAGAGATCTGCCTGCCTCTGCCTCCCAAGTGCTGGGATTAAAGGTGTGTGCCACCACACCCTGCTGTTATTATATTTTTGATATTAGGTATATGAGTGTATTGCTTGCATGTAAGTGCACCCATGTTACACAATGCCTAAGGAGGTCAGAATAAGGCATTAGATCCCCTAAAACTAGAGTTATACAGACAGTTGTTAGCCACCATGTGGGTGCTGGGAATACAACCCGGGTCTTCTGCAAGAGCAGCCAGTGCTCATAACCGCTGAGCCATCTCTCCAGCCCCAAAAAAGAATCTCATATAGCGCAGGCTGACCTCAAATTGACTATGTAGCCAATGATAAATTTGAACTTCTGATATTTCTGCCTCCCCTTCCAAGTGCTGAGATCACAGTCATGTGCAACCACACTCAGTTTTTGCTCTGCTGGGGATCAAACCCAAGGCTTAGTGCATTCTAGCCAAAAGTCTACCAACTGAGCTACATTCACAGCCATCAAAAAACTGTGTGTGTGTGATTGTGTGTGTATGCTGTATATGGTGTGTATTTGACGATATGATATGCTTGTATGTACAGGTCTGTACCTGCTGTATGTATGGAAGTCAGGACAATCTTGGACCTTCTACCTCCCTCACCTACCTCATTCATCTTACAGTAGGATCACTGGGATTACAGCCATGTAGCATGCCTGGCTTTATATGGGCTCTGAGGATTTGAGCTCAGATCCTTGTGCTTGCACAACAATCAGTTTTCTTTTACCCACTGAGCCATTTCTCTAGCCCCTGCAGAAAATATATGTATACATTTTGATTTATTTTGCACATATGTGGTGTTGTGTATATGTGCATGTGTATGAAAGCCCCAGATCTACATTGTCTTCCTTGATCACTCCCCACCTTTATTTATTTGAATTTTTTATATTTGTTTATTTATTTGGGTGTGGGTGCATAAGCTATGGTGCATGTGCAAAGGTCAGAGGACAACTTGTAGGTCAGTTCTCTCTGTCTGCCATGTGGGTTCTAAGTATCAAAATCAGGATATTGAACTCAGGTCATCAGTCCTGGGGGCAAGCATGTTTACCTACTCAGCCATCTTGCCCACCCATACACTTTTTTTAGACACTCTCTCACTGAACCGGAAGGTCATTGATTCATTGATTGAGCTAGGCTGGCTGGCCATGAACTCTGATCTACCTGTCTCCATGCCCCCTATCTTTAAGGCTGGGAAAATAGGGACATGCCCTCATGCCTGACTTCTGCAAGGACTCTGCAGATCTAAACTCAGACACTGTTGCTTGCCCTGCAGGCACTTAATCAACTGAACCATCTACCAGCCCCTCAAAATATGTTTTTAATTCAGTAAAAACATACTCACTTATTGTGATGAATTATGAATAATTTCTGTGTTTTCTAAATACTTCACCAAAGGTACATATTATATATTACTTTTATAATAAGAACAAAAATACTATTCAAAAATAAGAATCTCTGCCAGGCGTGGTGGGGCACGCCTTTAGTCCCAGCACTGGGGAGGCAGAGGCCTGTGGATCTTTGTGAGTTCAAGGCCAGCCTGGTCTACATAGTGAGTTCCAGGCCAGCCCACACTACAGAGAGACCCTGTCTCAAAAACACCAAACAAACAAACCTACCATATTACCCAGCTATACCACTCCTTGGCATATACCCAAAGGACTCATCCTATTGCAGAACCAAAAAAAAAAAAAAAATCTCTGGAAATGGGCTGCTCTTGTGTACTTATGTATTTCTCATCTCTATGGTTGCAGGTCCCTTCATGGCTGTTGCATATGGTTCAAAGGAAACTTCCTATCTGCTCCCTCCCAACCCTGAGGACTGGGAAGAATATGGCATTCCAGACTTCGTCTATGGACAGAAGGAACTTGCAGTGGAGGGAATCCAATGGCCAAGGAATGCACCCAGCACCCTGAGCAGCCTGCCGCTGTCCCGCTTCGATTCTGCCCTTTGCTCTGCATGGAGGCAGCGGGTAGAGCTGGGACTATTTCGTTATCGCCTGGAAGATCTGCAGACTCAAACCCTCCCTGGTTCTGTGGGGTTTGTAGCTCAGCTGAATGTAGAACGAGGAGTACAGAGGAGGCGCCCCCAGAATATCAAGAGTGTGAGGCAGGAGTTTGACCCTGAACAGTTTAACTTTAATAAAATCCGTCCTGGAGAGGTCCTTTTTCGTCTGCAACGGGAGTCTGATGGCCTAGCTGCCCCAGAACAAGAGGACATCCTCCTGGTGATCAATGTCAGTCCCCTGGAGTGGGGCCATGTGCTGCTGGTGCCTGAGCCTGCTCTAGGGCTTCCCCAACGCCTACTGCCTGGAGTGCTGCGGGCCGGGCTGGAGGCAGTGCTACTGAGCTTGCACCCTGGCTTCCGGGTGGGCTTCAACAGCCTGGGGGGCTTGGCCTCTGTGAACCACCTCCATCTGCACGGCTATTACCTGGCCCACAGACTGCCTGTGGAGGGTGCACCAAGCACACCTCTGGACCTGAAGGGCTATGTGCATCTGCTGCAGGCCCTCCCAGCTCCCGGCTTCCTCTTCTACTCTAGCGGGCCAGGGCCTGACTTGGAAGCCTTGATCAACAGGGTATGCCGAGCCACAGACTATCTGAGTGACCATGAAATTGCACATAACTTGTTTGTGACTCGGGGAGCTCCACCAGGACAGGCATCATCTTCCTCCGACCTCACTGGTATCCGAGTAATTCTGTGGGCCCGGAAGTCCAGCTTTGGAATAAAGGAAGGGGGTGCTTTCAATGTTGCACTCTGTGAACTGGCTGGCCACCTCCCTGTCAAAACATCCCAGGATTTTAGTAGCTTAACTGAGGCAGCTGCAGTGGCCCTCATTCAGGACTGTCTGCTGCCCCAAACTCAGGCAGATGAGGTACAGGCAGCTCTTGTGGCCCTGATGGCCCAGGAAGAGCTGTGAGCTTTCTGGAGATTTTTCTTTGATAACTGATGTGAGGCCTGAGGGCTGTGCTACATGGGCATTTGGGCATTTCTTTCAATGACTGCCTTCCCTCCTCTTAGCCCAAGAGAAAGTATAAAGAAAACTGGTATGCTTGGGTCTGTGGCCCAAGGAAAAACCTTGGAATAAATCCAGTGAATGTATTCTAATTCTGTTCCTTCTCACCTTTCTTCTTTTTACTTTTATTTATCTATTTGTCAGTGTGTTGGTATGTGAGCATGCACATGCTATGACACACATGTGGAGGTCAGAACACAACTTGTGGGAGTTGATTGTCCCCTTCCACCGTGTGGATCCTGGGGCTCAAACTCAGGTTGTCAGGCTTGGCAGCAAGAACCTTTACTGTTGAGCCATCTCACCATCTCACCAGACCCTCTGATCTTTCTTAAACAAGCTCCAGGGGGTATCAAACATAGCAGACTCCATCTATTGGGAAAAAAAATGGTGGGTGAAGAAAAAAAAGCAAAGGTGACACAGCAGAAGTGCCAGCTCCATGCTGGGTGCATTTATAAGCCATCCAAGTAAAGATCAATGCTTCATAACAAAGGCAAAGTCCATGTATCAAGTCAGGAGTGTGAAACTCTTACACTGCCTTTAAAAAAAAATGTGTATGTGTGTATACACATGCAAGAGTGCATATGTGCCATGGTACACGTGGAGGTCAGAGAACAACCTCACCGTGTAGGGTCAGGTCATAAGCACTGGCTGCTCTTACAGAGGACCCAGGTTTGGATCCCAACACCCACACGGCAGCTAACAACTGTCCCTAACTCCAGTTTCAGGGATCCAGTGCTCTCTTCTGGCCTTTGCAGGCACAGGGCACATACCTGGTACACTTACATGCAGGCAAAACACTCATACACATAAAAATAAAATCTTAGAAAAGAGGAGGAATAGAGAACAAGTGATAGGTCTGCAGCAAAGACTCACCTGTTTCAGCTTGCTGTTTGTTTTCTGAATTCCTGAGAATTCTTTCAGATTTCAGGGAGTTGATTTTTGTTCGTTTTGAGACACAGTCTCTCTATGGAGTCCAGCCTGGTATCAAGTTCACAGTCCTGCCTCAGCCTCTCAAATGTTGGAAGTTACAGATGTGTGACATATGCCTGACTTCTGTTAGATTTTTTTTTTTTGAGGCAGTGTCTCCTTGTAGCCCCAGCTAACCTACAACTTGCTATGTAGACTAGACTAGCTTTGATCTCACAGAGGTTCACTTGTCTCTGCCTCCAAAGTGCTGGGATTAAAGATGTGAGTCACTATGCCTGGCAACTTTTTTTTTTTTTAGAAGA